TAGAAGATTATAGCCTATTGAAGAAATAGTGACTTTTTTGCAGTAAATATCTTCTTTTAATTGCCTAGAAATGAGTATCAGGTATTAGTACAGTTTATTCCAAATAGTCACTTCGAAAAATCATCCTTCCCTTGTTAGATTTACAGTATAGAGCGGATCACCCGTCTCTCTTCATTACTGTAAGATTACGGTACAAACTTAAAATATATGATGTCAATGTGAAAAAAGCTGCCGTTTCAAAATTTTTCAAAAAATATACAAACTTGTGTGATAGGGTTTTTAGGACGCTGAGTTCAATACTCAACTATTCACAAGACTGCGAAGCTTTCTAAACGGTGCAACCGCACTTTTTAGGAACATTGAAAAAATGGCCGCTACCTCCTACCTGGCATAACTCTTCAATGAAGCATTATAATAGTTTGGAAACTTTACAGTTAGAATTCGCGACTCTAATTAGTCTAGTGTAAAAGTTTTCAGGCTGTTTTGTTTCCTTTCTGAGGCAAAATATGGCCTTTCATGGCTCAAAACCCTCTTTGAAGTTTCCACCGTAATCCCAGTAATGAAGAGAGATGGGTGATTCGCTCCATACTGTAAATCTAAGCTGAACCTCGCTCTACAAAATGGTACTTAAAGCTTCCCGAAACACTTCATTGCAAGAGAGTTATTTACAATCAAGCAGTGAGTACTTGTACATTTTTTTGGGACACTGTATTACTTGCGGGAGCGGAGCCTCGGAAAAAGTGGTAGTTTAGGACCCCCTCCCCCCAAAAAAGGTAACCCCTTATCTTTTTTCATTCAAAACGATTTCCAGCCTGTCATTTGCCCACCTCATGCCGTTCCCTGAACCTAATAGTTTTTTTTTCATTTAACAAGCATTCAAAACATTGGTTGATTGCAATGCGATCCGCGAAACAAGTCTCTGCTAGTATTGAGAGGTCATCATGCGCAACTCTCATGCATAAAAATGCTCAATCGCATCGCGATCCGCGATACTGGTACATAAGGCTAGCCTAAGGAGACTGCCCGAATATATATTTACCGAGCTTATTTCCAATTTTTTTATGAGTTTGTGGCTCATTTAGAGTTCGGTTATACAATGGTTGCTTAGGTTGTTGCGCTAGCATCCCCTTTTCATAGTGTCTCCATCGTATTCCTTGAATACTGATCGCTTTGTGGTCAGCGAAGGTGGCATGTGCAGACTCATATGAGTATCCTTTATGGCAGCGTTTCTAATAGTTAGTCCTTGTGTTCTATCATTTATTAGATTGTGGACCAGGACTGGCGAATGGCCTCGAAAAAAAACAATTTTGGTCGGTAGTAAACCTGGAACTCAGGACTTTGGAAGCGGAAGTCGGGTTTCTATAAGAGCTTCACTAAGCGACACTCTAAGTTGCAAAAACGGAACTTATAGTTATCTTTGAGTTAACTCGGAGCTTTGAACTCGGAGCTTAGATCAGATTACTACCAACCTTTATTTTTTGCATTACGTCTTTTTTGTTTCTGCGTATCTGTATTTTTAACCCTGATTTTTCTAAAGAATCTGTTAATTACTAACAGGACACTATGGCGGGCCTGTGGCGTATTAAATAAATAAATACATATAAGCTCAATAAGATTTTCATCGTTTGCAGGTGCTGTTCGAAAGCCGGTGGATTCCAAGAAGCGTAACCAAGTGGGTTTACGAGAACGATACAATAACACAGAGGATATTTGACATGGTGTTGTTATCTGACAAGGGAAGTCCGATTAGTTGAAGTGGCCTTTCCGAATGAGTCATATACCATTTTGAAGAGCGTTAAACGTTGATTCCGAATCTGAATTTATTATCTGCCGAGCGCCTCGACATGCCGAGTTATGAATATTTTTTGGAGGGAAAAATAAACGCAGAATTCAAGTAAAATCAACTATATTACGGCTTTTCAGTGCTCAAATAGAGCAACTTGTAGTATGAGTGTTTTGGACAGAAGGTATCCTTTGAAATGGAGTGCTCTGATAACCAACATTGGACCATTTGAGCAATTCTGACGAATTTTGCTTCAATTACGCATTCAATTTTTTAACCCAAAAAACTCGCATAACTTGGTGTCCAGAGGCGCTCGGCAGCTAATGAAGACAGATTCGGAATCATTTAACGCTCTTCAAAATATTATATGACCCATTTGGAAAGGCCACTTCGACTGATTCGACCTCCCTTGTGAGATTCACGATTTTACCAGAAGAGTGCTATTTGATAAACAGCGAATGCCTCTTTCTCTGCGGTTATTTCTATCTGTGCGAGAGATCAAGTAGGTAGCTTTTCTACAATTTCACTGTCAAGGATTTTGACAGTCAGCCATGTCTCAGTGATGAAAAGAACATCAGATTTACACTCATTTATGAAAAATCGTCGAAGTCTCGTCTTCGATCCACCTCCGTCATGCTCCTGCATAAGAATATGTTAGCGTATCCAGCATGGTGGAGGCCATGAGCATTAGCCAGTGCCTTACGCCAATGAGATGTGAGAGGCATGAAGAGGCATGACCACTTCTATGAGAGGCGCATTCGACTTGTTTGGCTTTCTTATGCAGAACATTTGTGAAGGTGTGCAATCTACATCAACAGCGTCGAAAGTATTCTCCACCTTATTTTGGAGTATTTCTGACGCTGTGATGGATGTATGTCCTGGTTCCTAGTCAAATCGAGATAGATGTTATCAGGTCCACAATAGATGGATTCGTGAATGCGATATCTTATCGCCTCACATGGACTAAGTCCACAATATTCGCACGAAAAGCCCGTTCCGCGGAGACCTTCGTAGATATCATTTCTGAATGGACATTGAGCTAAATTCATTCCCTCGCTCGGCATTTCCTCTACTTTCTCCTCTTTGCAAAGTTTGGGTCGTGGTTTATCTTGACCCGTGTTAACGCGTGAACGTGCCATGACTACTTATTTTGACTTGTCAAAACAGGTCCGCAGTAAAACACAGATGGAGAGGAATGTAGAAGAATGAATGAAAGAAAGGAGCGGTAGAGGAAAAAGCTCACCAGCCACAACAATCACAGTAGAGACCAGACTCAAACCAAATGGCAAAAAAGTTTTGAAAATAATGGAGACCATGGGCTAAGCTTAAAAAACTGCAAAGGAGATACTCACACCACCGCATTTGGGGAGCGTTCGCGAATGAAAACATTATCGCTTCTGCGTAAAGCTTGAAAAAACGAATTTGGGTATCATCCTTGCGCAGGAGCCATGCTAATCTCCTCTGTATTCGGAAAGTCAAGTGCCAAGAGTGCAAGATTTTTAAGGAGTTGATTTTGGAGTGAAAGTAGAGATTCTAGCGCGCGAAGCTCACACATCCACTCGCCAAACTCTAGAAGCCTTTTGGATTCATTTTAGAAACCCTAAAATGAATCGCAAAGAAAAGTGTCTCTCTATCACACGAGAAATCGCATCATATCTTGATCAGATCTTTTGATCCTGTGAAGACATGTTCAACTCCTTGCTCAAGCGGTCAGTAAACACTCGTTCGTGCCATACCAAAACTTTACCGGCGAACGAGAGGTGAGTACTGCGTGTGGCAGCCTGCTCGTGGTCGAAAGAAAGCTCAGATTGCCTGTTGGGCTGAGGGTATGTTTTATCGGGTAGTCTGTAAATCGTTTTCGCCCATTTCAGCTCTGAAGAAGGCGATTTATTGCCAAAACGTTAGCCTATATTAAAATTACCAATCTCGGTCGTGGCTAACAATCGAACCAATACTTCTCTGCATTATTCCAATTTTAGTATATGTGTATGAATTGAGTGCTAACCGCTGCTTTCCTTCAAAATAATTAGTTTGTGGGGTTCGAATTATTGCTGGAAAGAGTGAAGATGCAATTTTTCGAGTCTGTGTAAAAGAGCTGACCATGAAGAAGGGCTTGAGTTTTTTGTAACAATGTGTAAATCAAATCATTCTCCAATCTTTTATTATTTTCAGAACGGAGCATCTTTGCTCAAAATAGTTCAAGGCTTTATCGTACTATGTTAATTTTCTTAGGCCCGTATGCACGTACATTCCCGCTGGGGGAAGAAGATCTTTGAAGGGTTGCGTCATAACTTGCTACTCTACGTATATTTCTTCTTTCTCTCTTTTGCTTATGAATGTTCTGTACACTCATAAGTCGCATAATGGATGCCAGGTTACTGCCATACAAGATTGGTTTTGTGCTATCTCGTGTGATCCTCAAGGGATCCTCAGGGGTCATCTCTCATTCTCACAGTGATTTATTTTTCTGACAAGTCAATGGAAACGTTGCAAACTTGTACTGAGGATATAATACGGCAGTGCAAGGCGTGTTTTCGACAGGAGAAATACAATCTGAAGATTGTGAATTTCCGATAATCCCTAGCTCGCCGGCAGTGGTTCATAAAAAACTTCGATATCTTGTAATTTTGCTTATTTCTGCTATGAACGTGTTTAGCAGTGCCGTAATAAATCTTCAGTACAATTTTGCAACATTTTCATTGACTTTTCAGATAGATAAATGATTTTGAAAATGAGAGGTGGTCCCCTGGGCATCTTCTGGGGATTTTCAGGGGATCACACGAAATGGCAAAACTGATCTTGTATCGCAGTAACCTGGCATCCATTTATGCGCACTTATAAGGGTATGAGAACCTTTATGGCAAGATAGAGAAGGTAGAAGAAGACATCTAGAGTAGCGAGATATGACGCATCCCCCCTCAGATCCCCTCCCCTCCCCAGCCGGGATGTACGTGTTTCGGGCCTTAGTCTGTCCCGATCTGAAGCAGTCCGAAACTTTGGCTTGGATCGCGCGCTTGCAACTTTAATGCGTGAATTTTGCAAATATTGTCGGAGTCGAATAAAATGGGGGAAGGCATATCAGGACCACCTATAGCAAACTTTCGACTTACGCAAGGTCCGCGGTGCGTACGCGTCATGCTAGTTGTGGTTTGATCCGGATTGGGATAAAGTGTGAAGTTTTGCATATGTTGTGATTTTTTCCTATTCACAACATTTACTACCTTTAAGTTCGTGCTCTTGAAGTCCACTTATCATGGCACGCTCTTTCACATTCCTGAACGTCTGTACAAATACTTTATCAAACTGAAAAACAAGCTCATTGATAACACCATCACATCATAGAACAGCAAACTCGTTCGGGTGGTCGCAGTTCGGAGTATCGTTGAGTGTTTTGTTTGAGAGCTTGGTGAATCTGCTCAAAACGTGAAGGTGTTTTCTCAACATCCGATAAAGTAAGGTCCTGCAATCAGCTAGATAAACCTAACAAAAATCCACATTTTTTACTACCCTTAAAACAAGGTCAAAAGTCGCTCCAACTCAGTGGCATAGTGTCCGTGCAAGATAGCCTAGCACTTTCAAAAACAGACAGCTGCGGAACGAGTCCGATTGTGAGAGGAACGCTAAGACCAAGGATGGAGTTTTGTGTACACTTGAAGTTCAAGCAAGCACGATGTTTCATAGCAAAATGCTGGTTGCAATGCAGAAGCTTCTGAGTGCTTAGCTTGTTTTGATTCACACCAACTTGGTGGCAAGGTTCCGGCTGTTAGCCGAAACGCCAGCATGTTGTTGGTTTCAACAAGTTTATCCAACGTGGCGCAGGCTAGACATGCAGAGCAGGGGTGCCAGCAATTGTGAAGGGAACAATGCTCATTCATACGGTAATAGGCTCTTTTTGCTCAAGACTTGCATTGAAGCTATGCAGTGCTAACCAAAATTATATTCCGCCCTAAAAAGATACCTTCACTCACTCCTTCAATGATTTGATCCAAAATCTGGCACAGCTGTGTGCTGACTAGGAAGCGGTAGTCAAGCTGTGTCGTACCTTCAGAAAAACCGATTATCTGACTTTTTACCTAAAGATGCTTTGATATGCATTTTGTTCCTGAACCTGCGTTTGGATAAGAAATTTTGCTGTTTCTTGGTTTATCGGAATTTTATTTCCTTCCACATGCTTGATGACGCGAGCATTATGGCAAAACCTGAGTTTTGCTGTTGAAGCAAATCCGTTGACGCAAGTTTGAGCTCGAATTTGCCCTCAAACTCTTTCTACAATGTTCTCATAAGCCCTAAGTGGAGTACTGGCATTGTTTGTACAAACGGGAGTCAGTACTACACGGTTACAAATTTCTAGAGATCCTAGAGTGTAGGTACAGGCCCCGTAAAATCCAATTGCCCATGCGTCGCTCTGAACCTTAACGTTCGGCGCGGCTGAAAACGTTTGGTCCCGAAGCGCTACAGGGTTTTTGCGAGCGACAATGAGCGCGCACCCTTTTTACACATATTTTTTTAAGCTTTGAAGGGAGCTTCTGTCAAGATATACCTTGTATTGACGAGAAAAACATGAGATTTGAAGGAAGATTTCTTGAAATTCAGTGAACGCAGACAGTCGTTCGCGACGACCGCCCGCTTACGCTGGTGTTCAAGGCACGGCGGGGGCAATTAGGTTTTACGGCGCCTATACAATTGCGGAAATCACCTTGCAGGAAAATAGAAGCTAGCCCCAACATTAAGAGTGATTGTGACAGTAATCATCAGGAGAATCGTGTGCTAACATACAATATAAGTTGTTTTCATTATCTATCAGATGATAAATGCCAAAAGCCTAGGCAAGGTAACACTTGGTAAGGTATATTGGAATTGGGTAACACCGTAATAAGGCTGCGTAACTCATGTTTCGGAAAAAAAGCGTTGTTTTGTGGACACCCGTCAGTATAGGGTTTATTCCAATTTATATGAAGCATGCTTCTACTTTATTTTGAGCTACAATGATAGCGCAAAAAAAGGATTTAAAGGCAATGGATCAGCAAAATGGACTCTGTCAGTTTTTGGTAATGTTAGGTACTAGACTCCCCAAATACGCCGTGGCCCCAACCACATTCTCAAATTCATGCGCTAATTACTGTAATGGAGATACAAAACTCCATCAGCCCCACCCATTTCCATTGAGTGGGCGTTATTGGTGGAGTTGAAGCGCTTTTTCAGAACTTAGCATGAATTGGAGGGTACGGTTGAGTTTAGGGCTTAGTTAGGAGTCTACTACCGAACTACCAAAATTTGACAGGGGTCCATTTTGCTGAACCACTGCCTTCAAGGCAGAAATCCTAGATTAGGCTTGCAATTTGGTTCATGTCGGATTGCTTCAACAGCAAAAACTTAGATTTCTTCTTCAATGTTCGCGTCATCAAGCATGCAGTATATATACAAAATTCCATCGCTTTCTTGTCAGCCGAGAAACAGCAGAAATTCCTATTCAAATACAGGCCTCCAAACCGAGATATATGTGAAAGCATCTTCAAGAAAGCAGACAATTGATTCTTCTAAAGTACGGCACAGCTTGACTAAAGCAACTGTTTGATACTTCCAAAATGCATCTACTTTGAGAACTTTGAAAGCTGGGAAGTGCTTTGGTGAACACGACTTAAAGGCACCACCCACCCTAAGTTGAGGGTCTCGAGCTTTTGGCAGCATATGATAGTAAGGGCCCCCTCTCAAGCTAATGCCCAAGTGGCGGCACAAAATGTCGCTTCGAAAGCGAGAAACTCGCTCCGGAATAACGAAGATGCACGAGGACTCCCAGACGGCACCGCCTCCCCATCCATGCCCGCCCATCCGCGGGCGCAAAGCTCACCGTGCCGGAAAGCCGACCTGCGGGTTCTCCGGAACGGCAATTGTTGGGGTTTTCGCGGACTTTCGATTATATAATCGGAATCAGGGACATGAGAAGGCCCAGGAACGATCAAAACATGAAAGTCGAGAATCTGGGTGGATGGTGCCTTTAAGGTGGACCTACAATTTTAGCCAGCCTTCAAGCTGGTTTTTTTCCTAAATCTTTTTCTTCTGAACAACTAGACGAAAACGAGGCCCGTTTTGTTGAACGCTAGTAGGCTGGTAATGACACAGCTGTATCAATTTTAGACCATATCATTAACAGCGATTGATTGTGAGTTACGCATCTTTTGAAGTGGATCTCTGATTTTGACCAGCACTGTTTAGCTTGCCGTTCACATACAGGTTGTCCCAAAATAATGAATTGAACGCTTGATCTCAACTGACATTCTTATACGAAAAGCTTTTGCCTTTTTTGGACACCGCAAATCACCTATCGCTCTTCATTATTGTGGATTATGGTAACAACTTTTAACTTACAGCGTCATTGTGGATAAGTCATGCTCCAAGAGTGTTCAAATATAGAGGTCCGCAGTAAACCCTTCCTCAGCTCAGATGATCTGAGCTGACTCCCTCAGAAGAAATTCGTAAGCTAATCTCACGACCCCTTTGTTTCAGTGTTGTAAAAATGCATGGCTAGCTTGCAGCCGAGCAGCGGTCAGCTGCCGCAATGATCTGCGCTGTCTGCTGTAAGCGGAGCCCTCACCGTCAGCACCGTCAGCACGGCTTACGCAGACAGTGTGTTTTTGAGGAGACGCAGAGATTGCTCGTGAGTAACTTATGGGACACGTCAGCTGGCTAATTCTGCGGACGACAGTGCACGAAATTGCATAGAGTGGCATATGAATGGGGATGATCAATGAACAGCTGATCGCAGCAAAAATGGGATAGCAAGTTTCCTCTATACTCATTGGGCTACTTCAATCAAATCTTCGTATTTTTCGAAGAATGCTCAAAATAGAAATCAAACTCTCTCATCTTCTAAAAATCAAGATTTTTTTCATGGATGTTAATGCTAAGCTATTGTATCCGGTTTATGTCCCTGTTTGCGCAGCAAAATCTTTGACAGCGCCCACCATCGATTTTTTAGTAGTGACTGCTATCGAAGGTTGCCACGGCGATGTAGCAAAAATGTCGGCATCTGCCGGTCACGAACTCTGGTGCTGCAGCATGTACCACACTAGTATTAGCCATTTGATCAAACCTGCACAATCTCTCAAGCTGTTTTTTTTTTGAGAACACGCAGTTTCTACCATGCCTACAAAACGATCCGCATCCGGAACGATGGCTCGCTTGACACCGCGCTGAGGCGCCGTAAGGCCAACCCGGGCCCGACTCAGGAGATGCACTGACGAGCGAACTACGGGCCAGAGAGTTGCGAACAGAGTTTCTGGACTACGTGCGCTGAGCTCAGTACTCAATCTCTTACTGTTTGCCGCGCTTTCCAAATCGTGTAATCACAATCGAAGAGCATTTTGAAAACAACTATTGCGAGCGGTGAAGTGCAAAATTCATAATTAGTATCAGCGACTCTAATCATTTCAATATAAGAATTTCTTCAATTTGTTTCGCTTGCTTTCTGAGGCAAAATGGTCTCTCAATGGCTCAAAACCTCCCAAGTTCCCACTTAACTCTAAAGTAATGAAGAGCGATTGATGATCTGTTCTGTACTGTAAACAAGCTAAAGCGAGAAAAAAATGCTATTCAAAAAAAGGCGAAAGCCTTCAAACAAGAGGGCTATAGAGATTAAGCGTTCGATACATTATCTTGGGAGAGCCTGTATAATATGCTCATTTACGGTCTCCATTCGTTTAAATCAGCATGCGACATTGTCATTACCCCTCCCGTTCTAAAACAGTCATTGAATCCTCTTATCCCGCCCCTCCAGGTGTAGCTTGCCCACACCTCATGCTTGACCTCGATGCATGATCTTGATAACAATTTTTCCTAGTAGAGTCTTGACAGGAGAAGATCGAGCGGGTCCATACATTATGCTGGACGAACTAGCCTCATGCAAAAGTTCTTGCGTTTCTCGAAGAAACGATATTTTCAAAATTTACACCTTAATTTATGGGTTTGTTGTCCAATTGGAGAAGGTTTGTGCTTTACGACAATTGTCTGAACGCAACTTTTTGTTGGTTAACCTTGGAGTAGGAGAATATATGTCGCCGACAGGCTCCACCGCGCACGGACAGCTATTATTTGATGTCTGTAGTACGCGCTTTGTCGCAAATGTCCGCGCGCAACCAACGTCCGCGTCCCAAAAGTGCAAAAAATTGAAAAAAAATATCAATATGTGGAAAAAATACTAGGCCTGCAAATGGTATGACTTTCCCAGAGGTGTGGGCCACCGGTGTTCCACATCGTCTCTGGCAACAAAAAGTGCGTGGGCCACCGCTGGTCTACATCGTCGTCAATGAGTTAAGAAACAAAGCTGCAATAACTGCTGCAACTGCTGTTGATTTTGTAGTTTTGACTTTGCTCGTAAACTGCTAGAGTGATGCTAGATGAAAATTCTGCAGAATTCTCTAACAAAGCAGTAGTCCATATTTTATTGTACTAGGCTTTGACTCG